CAGATGAAGCTGTTCATTTGTATTCAGTGGAGCTCGGGCTCGATCACATTCATTAATAGACTTTATCACGCCTGTGAATAACTGCTTTATAGTTTCTCTGACTGTGATGGGTCATGAGGGTGAGAAAGTCTTAAGTTTTACAGTAGGAAGTGTTTGGGATGAGCAAGACTGCATGGATTCTGACAGCTAGTCAATGCAATCAGTTTTTTTTAGTGAATATTTGTAGCTATAGAGGACCTACATGTATAATCGAATGACACGCATTGAAAATTGTGAGCTAGAAGTCACATAACGCAGTCAACTATTTAATAAATCCTATCCTATACTTTACAGTTACTTAGACTTAAAATACTGATTTGAGTTCAAACTTCAAAGTATTTTATTTTGCGAGGAGAAAGATGCTGCTGAGTAAAGGAGTGGTTGATTATGATTTAACTTTTTTAACTTTAGTTAGTGTGTAATGTTGCTGTTAAGAACATAAAAAATATCTGCAAAGTTACAATGCCCAAAGTTCTATGCAAATATAGATATTTTCTTTTAAAGAAATGGCTATTTAAGGACTACAAAAAAAGGCTGGTAGGGACTACAACGAGCTTCTTCCCGGGTTTGTGACTTCACAAACCCCGATGTTTACATAAACCCTGCCACCGGGAACATGCAACTACCCATAATAGTAAGGGGGCGTGACGTTTCCGGACAACGTCCACTAGCGAATCACAACACACTGGGCCAGCTAACCAATCTGAGCCTGATTGCGTGTTTCTGAGGGAGGGGCTTCATAGAACCAGAAACTCAATAGACCATTTTGATGAGAACAGAAACAGCAGTGTAGAATAAAGGTAAAATGTGTGAAAATAATGTTGTTGTTTTTTAACTAAGCATGAACATGTTACACTGCACCTCATAAACACAATCAAGCCTTCTAAAAAAGCTGATCAACCACCCCTTTAAACTAGCATATGTAGGAAGTTAATTGCCTGGGACAACAGTCAATTATATACTTTAGTGATCATTATTCAAACATAACCGTATATACATAACTGTAGAATGCTGCGACTGACCAGTAAGAATTAAATATTAAATGATGTACACTGTTCAAACATTTGTTGTCGTTAAGATTTTTTTATGTATTTGAAAGAAGTCTCTTATGCCAACAAAGGCTGCATTTATTTAATCAGAAAATGCAGTAATAATTTTATATTGTGAAATATTAATTTTAAAATGTAATTTATTCCTGTGATGGCACAGGTGAATTTTCAGAAGCCATTATTTCAGTCTTCAGTGTCACATGATTTTTTTTTCAATATTCTTTGTTCAAAGGAACTGCATTTATTTAAAATGGAAATTATCTGTAACAATTTTGTCACTTTTTCAAATAATTTGAATAAAAGTATTAATTTTATGAATTAATATTAATTAAAACTCTTACTGACCTCAAACTTTTAAAAGGTAGTGTATGTTTCCTTTAACCATCACCTAACCATCGTCTCAAGTAAAACATAGCTGTGAAACATACTCATTTTGATCTCTGATCATACCGTGGTCACAGCATGTTATACTAGAGCATAACCACACTACGTATTAGAACTAGTGGGCCACAAAGCACTAGCTGTTTTGATAGCGTCACTCTATTTTGGGCTTGTGCTAGTGAACGGGTCTGCATCTTTTGTTCCTCAATTGACATCAGAGCACTTTACAGACAATGCATTCCTGGAATCAAGTTAGCTGAAAGGGTGAGAAAGATGTGGGGCATAATATACCCCCAAAAAAATCACAATCATACATCGTTGTAAAATGAGAAGTAATATGTGTGACTAAGCTGTTAGTGTACTATCTCAGACAGAAGTCAATGACTATGGGTGTGTGAATGTATAAGTGTAAAACCAAGTAAAGCACTGTAACTTGTTTTCTCCCTCTGACCACTAGTTAATTAAGCTTGGCTGAGAGTCAAAATGGAAGGCAAAAAAAGGGGAAAGGCGGGTCTCTTTGCAGCAGGGTGGAGTGTGTGTTTGGTCACTCATGCAACCATTGCATGCAAGCCAATAATTTTCTGAAAAAAATGACACCTTGCACTTGAAGATACCACATTGTGTTATAATTTTATACTCCAAAAACCAAAATGAGTGAAAACGGCCTATTTTAGCTTTAGGTTCTAAAGGGTTAAAAGCAAAAGTGTGACCAGAGAAAGCTTACAATATGTGGCTAGTGATGTAAATCCCCAAAGTGTGCTAAACATGAGACCTCAGACAAACATAAAATAGGCAAAAGGTATATTTTGCCTTTCCATTGTAGGAATTTTAAGCGCTAAAATTCAACATTGCCTATAATAGCTTTCAGCAGCTAATGATTTTTTCCTACAAATCTTAATGCTTTAATGCAGAACTTAATGCTTTGTAGTGCATTGTGAAATCTCTTCCCTCCGTCTGTTTCTTTTTTGCACAAGAAAATTTGAAATTACAAAGAAAGCAATTCTTCCATGTTACTTTTTACATAATTTCTCTCGCAAAAATAAACAAATTCTCATGCCTGGAGGCCTTTCATTATGTTACCTAACATTTACTTTAAATAGATCTACAGTAAATGCACCAGTTGCTTTAGTCAAATTGGGGTTAGTGTACCATGAGGATGATAAACTTTCACATTAGAAAATGAACATCCATAAAAGAATTACAGCATTTATGATCAAACGTAAAGCTTAGCATGTAAAACCACATGCTGTTTAGAAGAGTGGTCCTCAAAAACATTTTTCACTCCATCAATACAGTCTGCATACATTTTATCCAGACTAAGATTAAAATCCAAAAAAGTGGGAAATCCAAATATTTTTTCCCCAAGTCAAACTGCCAACAGAAAAGCCCTATTTGGACAATGACAAATGTGCTCACCTTGTCCAGAATGAACCTGTTCAGGTAAGGCATGTATCCCTGATTGGAAACAGGACCTTCATCATCATCTCTAAAGTGTTCCTCTAGAGCAACAGGATCATGAGGGATCTTCATCACTGTACACAGGTTATGGGAAAGCACCTGAAAAACACCACTGAGTTCAACACCAAAACATATCCAATAATAACAATAATCATCATCTAAATCAGTGCTTAAACACTTATGAAGTAGTGATTTTTAGTAGAATATCATTGTAGCACTTTTCTCACTTTGTGTATCCACTATATATTTGGAAGAACCTGCATCCAGATATTACATCATACAACTATCCCTTATATATTCTTACCATTAGCATTGATATAATTAGCTTAATTTCCTAAACAAAACTCTTCCATTTCATCTGAATGTATTTAAATATGGATACACACATTTTAAACCAATTTAAAGGTTTGGGAAGGATTAGAAAATAACTAAAGGTTTGTCATTATTCGGGTTGCAGTTCTATATGATCTAATACCTCATCCGTGACACACTACAATCAGATACCAGAAGCAGAATTCCCTGTCCCACGAGTACTTTATAACGTTTTTAAGTTTCGAAACAAACTAGAGTTTGAAATTCTATAGAGAAAAAGTAACTTGAAACAATGTTACATTTACAGTCAGTGCAGCTAGTATGAGTCACACATCCTTAAACTCTAAGAATTTCCTGCGCTGAGCCATTGTAACAGCGCTTACACTCCAGTGCCCAAGCTTAAAAGAACAACAAAGTTGATTCGGTGGCAAAAAACAAACCTTCAGCTGTGACTTAGACACTTTCCCACTTTTATCCACATCCAGGGCTGTGAACGCATGCCATATTGCCTTGAGGAGCTCGTCCCTTAGTCCCATTTTCAGAGGCGGTGCCTCCGGACTACTGACTGGCGTCGCGCTTGATGTGAACTGTTTTCTCATGAAGTTTTACAAAAGAGCGGTCACATGACCTTAGAACCAGAACTGAACTGAACTCGCGGTTCGAGCACCACTCAGCGATGAGCGCGTGCTGCTGAAGGATTTGGCAGGAATTTATGACCTCATTAAGCATTTACCAGGCTGAGAATTGTAAACCTCCCACAAACTAGAATATATTTTTTACATAATATTTGTGTTTCAATGGTGTTTACAAAGGTTTCAGTAACCGCAAAGGTAACGTTAGATGACATGTCAAAATGAATCTCTAACGAATGGAAGTTGTGTTCGCCAGAGGGTAACCACAGAAACAGCAAGTTGTTTGAGCGCTTTAAAGGGCTCTTGAACTGCTTTTTTTATTATTATTTTGTACTGTTCTCTGAGGTTCACTTATAATGGTATCAAGATTTTTACATAAAAAAACTATTTGGAATAGGCTATTTTCTGTCCTGTTTTGACCCCCTCATGTGAACACTGTGTTTAAATAGGCATGGCGGATTGTAGACTCGGAAACGCCTACTGGTCAGATTCAGCCACTCTTTCCTAATGTTGGGATCACAAGGAAGGCAATGCAAAGCCTGTGTTTTCCCACAGCTTGTTGTCTTCGGAGCATCTTAATCGTTTGGTTTCTGCATAGACCTGCTTTTGCACCTCTTGTTATTTACACTATTTATGCGAATCGGTGGGCGGGGCTAAACAGGTAGTTATGTAGAAGCAGGCCTGCGGAGGCGGTGCTTAGCCACACTATTAAGTCATAAAGTGGCACATTCCACAACCTGTCGTTTGAGCAGATTGGCTTCAATATAAGCTGTTTTTAGACTAACGAGAAAGTTGAGTTCTGAAACTTACAGGATGTTTTTATAGTACAATTATCTTTTTATGTCAAGGGAATTTTAATTTCTCAGTTCATTACCCTTTTATGTCAGAATGTGACTGTGCATCCACAAAGAGTAATGCATTTTTCACCTTACTGTAGATTTAAATCACAAATAGTTTTAATGCAAGTTAACCGAGTTTGAGGCGACGGGCTGTGCGAAACAAACATCAAACGACTCAAAAGAAGAAGAAGAAAAGTCCCCCTCAGCCCCTCCCCCCTCACTTAAAAGTAATTGCAAATTGGCATACTATTAAAGTTTATATAAATCAAACTAGGCATGTTTAGGTGAAAACAGTTTATTAAAATGAACGTATTTACAGACAAAATGAAGTTTTTTAGGATTAACAAGACCAAATAATCTAAACAGTACCCCATCAATGTAGTCGAAGTAACACAAAAGTCAGAATTATACATTATTAACTAAGGACATCAGATGAACTGGACAAAGATTGTTTTAATGCTACAAACAGGGTTGGAGATTTAGATGGCATGTGTACATTTAAATCATCATTTGCTTCCAGTTTTAAGCATGGTCTGTCACATGGTTAAATTCAAGATTTGACAAAGCAAAGCAAAAAAAAAAAAAGGGGAGAATTTTAAATCTGCAAAATAAAAAAAAGTTACTGGAGCAAACACTATTATGATGATGAGATTATGAAATATTGTTTGGATGGATAAAATGATTTAGAAGTAAAGGAAAAAAATCTTCCAACCCTAACTGGATACAGACGAACATGAATAGCAGCAGGTTTTCTGTGGCAAGCTCACCATTGCCTCCAAAGTGCTCATTTAAATGGCAATCTAACTCAAGCCCCAACTTCTGTGGCCCAACAGGCATTTTTCACAGGCAGTAAGGTGCACAAATCTTTGATCTGGTACATTCACATATCAGGGCTCAATAGGGGCACACATCTCCCATTTGGCAACACTGCACCTCTGAGAAAGCAAGTGCAGGGAGACCATTTTGATCCTTACCTACGGAACTTAAAGCAAAGATTAGGAAGACAGAACTATACTAAAAATGTGTCTATCTCCAGGCAATTCTGTCAAGAGATTTTGAGAAGGCAAACCTAAATGGTTATGCAGATCTGCATTATGTTATCAGAGTGCCAATACAATGCAGAAGGACCCAAGCTTCAGTAAAGACAATGGTACTTGTACCAAACAGTATAAGCACTATAAGTCACAAAACAGTCTGTGTCATCCTTCTGGCTACAGACAAAACTGTCTGTGTTCCCAAGTCTTTGATAAGCACCACTGTAGTTCCCACTTAGAACTGGTCATCTCCTTAATCTGGGGTTCAGTTCAGTAAATGGTGAGACTAACGGAACGGTTCATCTTTTTCCCAATGAGCCGAGAAGTTCTGGAGCTGGATTGGACTGTGGCACGTGTAAGAACACGGTCTGTGGACAGAACCCTCTCTTCTGCTGCAGCCTTTGCCATCTGAGCTTTCTTTAGCTCCCTGAGAAACGAAAACCAGAATTCTTATTTCAGTAAAAAAAACATTTTTTATAACAAGTAAATTACTTCTAAATTAAGCATGAAATCGGTCCATATAAATGGAAGAATATATGACTTACTTCTGCAGAAGTGCGTTCTTGAATCTCTCAGCGTTGAGCTCTACACGCAGCTGGTCAGCACTCATTCTGGAAGCAGTCAGAAGAACGGGATGTCTGATGAGGTCAGAGGTTGAGGGTCGCCGTGTCGGGTCAGGATGGATCATAAGCTGTCAGAGGAGGATATATGCACATTTTAATCAAACGTTCAAGACACCAATCAATGCAGTTGCACTAAGAGAGAAGTTTATATGATTAATTCGATTTAGGATTGATTTGTAGTAGAAACCCTACCTTTAATAAGCTTAAAAATTCCTGAGAAAGCACTTGTGGGATATGGGGCAGGATGCCCTGTCGGATTTTATGCCACTTTTCTCCATTGGTGGGAGGGGGCTCTGCTCCAGAGGCACTGACTACAGTCAGAGCCAGGGCAAATATGTCCGCCTTTTTCAGATTACTGTAGTCCTGTGGGCAAGAACAGCAAAATTAGTACATGACAAAAGACTGTGACCTGCCAAGAATTTCTTTAAGACCAAAAATGAATAAAGGTGTTTACCTCTTGAAGAACTTCATTTGCCAGGTATCTGCTGTCACCTTCTTCAACTTGTGGATTAGTAACCGTTGTAACATGACCTAGATCACCTGGTAGAGAAAATAGTCAAAATCTTGCCCAATTCATAAAGCCAAATCTCTATAAAACTTCATCAAACTCCATCATCTTGGGATGCAATTTTAGTATCTTACCTATTTTGTACACTACTCTTGTGATGGGACCATCTTCTTCGTCTTCAAATTCCTCTACAGTGGCAGCAGGTTTGCGTGAAATGAATATATTGCCTGAAAAATTTTTTTATATATATAAATTACGACATTATAATTCTAAAATACATAAAAAAGGTGTAAAAAAAAAAAAAAAAGATATTGATGAGGGTGTGATGAGCATATACATACTTGGCTTGATATCCATGTGAACAAGTGCTGTAGAGTGAATATACTTGAGTCCACGAGAGACTTGCAACAGCAGATCCTTCAGCTCCATCTCAGACAGGAAGTGTAAGAGTCTATTGTTCTCAGCAATAACATCAAACAGGGTTCCTCCATTGCAGTACTCGTTCTGGATCAGCATGTGGTCATCTTCTGCCCAAGCAGAATAATACCTCACGACGTGGGGGTGCTGTCCAAGAACTGCATGTGCATATACCTCACGAAGTGCATTTTGCCTATTGGGGTAGAATTCATAGGAATAAATAATGCAATAAGAATCTCCATTCAATAGCTGGTGTTACGGAGTATAAAACAGTATTCAAAAAGATGTTATGTTCACTTACTCATCCACAGAGCCTGCCAGGGGCTTTTTAGAACGCTTGATGGCATAGATACAGCCGTCCAACCGCTTGACACATTTGAAAACAGAACCAAACTCTCCAGAACCAATCTTCTCCAGCTCATGGAATTCAGATGCATATCTGGACATCATGTTATTCTCCATCATAGTGATCCTCTGTGGGGAAAATCAGTTTTTACTAAACATGAAAATAAAGCTGTACTGAACTAGAAAGTCAAGTAGGGATGCATCCAAATTCCTGCCACATTCCTTAAAATCCTGGCTATAAACTGACTTTAACATCCAAACAGAATCTTTGACATACAAAAAAATCAAAGACCAAAGTCTGATTTAAAAAGCAGTTCATTTGAGCTTCAGTCAAGAATTTATTTCACTGCTTCATTAGATAAAAACACACAAAACTAATCGTCAATAAAAACTATTCACAATTATAATTAATTAAATTTTACCTTTGAGGGAGGAATGAGCTCATCCTCGATCTCAGGATCACTTGCATCCATGTCCTCCCCACATGAGCTGCAAAATGAAAAGATATTATTAGAAAGGATGTCAATACAGACATCAAACACTAGGGGGCAGAGAGGCCTGACTAAGCACATGGCGCGGGGAGTAAGCGAACACAAGGGACTGGTTCCTCGCCAACTTTTTGTCTTGGAACAGAATTAGTAAAAACGGATTTAACGATCGGTCCTGCAAACCTGTGCCACACCTGTCCAAGATGGGCATAGTGTTTCATTCTATTAAAACTACTTCACGGCAGTGCGTAAACTAGAGATTAACTGGTCAAAAGGACAAGAAAACGCTAGAAAAGACATGACTCAATTTGGCGCGAATGCTTTTCTTTCATTTGTGTAACGGTCTCGTTTGATCTTGGAGTTGATCAGAGTGCTTTAGTGAAGATAGCCTTCATTATGACACATTGTGATCTGTTCTTGGTGACACAGGAACACGTTACATGAATTACATGGCATTTTATTTGATGAGATTAATAATTTTGTTAGTGTTTTCATGGTAGTGTAAATTAGCCACATGGATTTGTTTTGATAGCAGAGGTTCTACAGTAGAATTGACTGGCAATCCGTTAACAATAGCAATCACATAAGCAGCCTGTTAGTTTCACTATTGATTTTTTACATCAACATATTAACGGGACTTTCCAGTCTCTTAGTATATTGTACATAAAACCCACCATGTTTGGAAAGTACCCCGGATTTATATGGTTAATATAGAAATGAATGCTACCAGGTTGTTTTTTTTATTTTGTTTTTTTTAAGTTTATCGTTGTTGTGCTCCAAACTAAAATATCTGTGAACTGTACTCTGTATTGGGTGATGTTAAGTCAAAGAACACAATACAATGAAATTATTATTTTTTTTTATATCATAATTGTAGACCTTTTGTTAACAGCTTGCAAAAAATAGCATAATCAAATATATACAGAAAAAACTCTACTTTTAAAACAGTTATGTACATATCCACACAAAAATATCTTCTTGGTATATAGCGATCAGCATATGAAAAACTATGATGTTTGACAGATTTTCAATACCCAGACTTACATACATACACACTCACACACACCGACCCTTGAGACGTTTAGTTCACAGTGATCATTTTTACAACGTGAGTTAATCGTCCATGCCAAGGGTTTCTCCTTGCTGTATTCTTGATGCTATTCTGATGGCTTCTTCTAGAGAAGGCTGATCACTGAGCTAAGAGGGGAAAAAGTGAAAAATAAACAAATGTTTGCAGATGCAGTACAACAAACAATTTCAAAATTGTATTGGTCAATGGCACCAACCACAGGCTTCCCTTTTCTAGAGAATGACACACTTCCCCTTTGTTGGTAATGAGGGCTCATTAATCAGAAATGAATGGCACATCAGTGTAAAGATCAATACAAGGTTAATTGGACTAGACCAGTTTGCTCAATTAGTTCTCCATTAATCAAAAAAGACAAGTGATACAATTACTAATCATACTTAGCACATTTTCTGCTACTGATTCCAGCTATTATTACACTAAGAGCTGAAACCAATGCTTAATTAAAAGTGTTATTTAAAAGCCACAATTTTAGATATTAGAGCATAAACTGGTGATCGATTTTAGTTTACTGTCACACCCATTCTTTACTCATTTTCTGTTAACTCAATGATTCATAAAACTGTAAATCCCATTTATGCACATTCAAGTCATCATCAGAAGAAGAAAAATGTAGCTTTGGTGTAAAAAGTTTTTGTTTTTTAAAGGAATGCCTGCAATGCAGTGTATCAAATACATTTGATCTGGCCTAGTTTAATATAATTTATATCATGCTGAGATGCGGACTTGCGCATTTTATTTCAAAAGTTTCCAAACATTAGACCTACAGAACCACAATACCAATTCAGTTGAGACCTACATCATTAACACACACATCCTAAAAACACACACCTAATGGAAAGAAGTTGCAAGCCCCCAACAAACAGTCTTTTGAGAATAATTTCATATTCCCACCCTAAAAGGGGCTTAAAGTAGGGCTACACGATAAATCGCATGCTATATTTAATGCGCATCATGTGAAAGCATGCACGTGATGGAGATTTACCGCTGATTACAGAAATGGCTTTACTGACAAGATGCGCATTAAATATTGCATGCGATTTATCGTGCAGCCCTAGCTTAAAGGTTTACGGCATTAACTGCAGGTTTTATTATTTACTCTCAGGCAAAGTAAACACATCATTTAAGCTTTTGCAACCCCTCCTAACTTTGCATGTTAATGTGACTGTGAGAGGAAGAGTCCATAACGTGAGTGTATATATTCTATACCTGCACAGCTATGTGTGTGCCGTTAGAAGTAGCCAGCAGCGTGACTGGGTGTGGGCTTGTGGAAACCACATGCTGTTCCTGATCTTGTATGAGCTCCCCCTCTTCTGTCTGGTACGCAGACAGATCTGGCGTCACAATAGCCACCTAAAACGCAAATAAACCTTTTACACAATAAGCTCAACTTGTGTGCATTTAGTTAAGTAATGGAGCTCCTCGGTAGAACACAGGCTAGTAAAAGGGATAGGCCAATCAAAAAAACTAAATATTGTCATCTTTTACTCGTCCTCATGTCATTGCAGACATGTATGCATTTATTTCTTCTGTGGAACAAGAAAGATGATATTTTGAAGAATGTTAATATTTAATGCGCATCATGTGAAAGCATGCACGTGATGGAGATTTACCGCTGATTAAAGAAATGGCTTTACTGACAAGATGCGCATTAAATATTGCATGCGATTTATCGTGCAGCCCTAGCTTAAAGGTTTACGGCATTAACTGCAGGTTTTATTATTTACTCTCAGGCAAAGTAAACACATCATTTAAGCTTTTGCAACCCCTCCTAACTTTGCATGTTAATGTGACTGTGAGAGGAAGAGTCCATAACGTGAGTGTATATATTCTATACCTGCACAGCTATGTGTGTGCCGTTAGAAGTAGCCAGCAGCGTGACTGGGTGTGGGCTTGTGGAAACCACATGCTGTTCCTGATCTTGTATGAGCTCCCCCTCTTCTGTCTGGTACGCAGACAGATCTGGCGTCACAATAGCCACCTAAAACGCAAATAAACCTTTTACACAATAAGCTCAACTTGTGTGCATTTAGTTAAGTAATGGAGCTCCTCGGTAGAACACAGGCTAGTAAAAGGGATAGGCCAATCAAAAAAACTAAATATTGTCATCTTTTACTCGTCCTCATGTCATTGCAGACATGTATGCATTTATTTCTTCTGTGGAACAAGAAAGATGATATTTTGAAGAATGTTGGTAACCAAACAGTTTCGAGTCCCACTGTCTTCCATAATATGGACAAAAAAATGCAACAGAATTCTGAAATGGTAATTGATTACCAACATTCTACAAAATATCTTCTTTTGTGTTCCACAGACGGAAGAAATGCATACAGGTTTGGAACAACATGAGGGCTAGTAAATGATGACAACATTAAAATTTTTTGGTGGACTATCCCTATAAAGTAACAACACTTGCCTGTCCCTCTGTACCATCTGCAGACACCATAGTAACAGAATGTGCTCCCCCTGAGGAAAGCATCGCTTCATGTGCTGGGATGGTTATGGTGGTTCCTTCTTGTGTTACCATGGTAATCGTGCCTCCCATAGCCTGCATATCTGCTTGAGACAGAACCTGAGAGGGAAAAGACAAGTATTCACCTGAAAGATAACTGCATATCAACTACCTTCCCATAGCTTGTACTACAGTAGTATGAAGTAGGAGTATGAATTCTGAGTACAGTACTTAAATATGAAATAAAATAGGTCCTGATGATATTGTGTGTGATCAATAGAGTGGTCGACATTTATGGAAGTCATCACTGACCTGTTGTGTGCCATCCTGAGATATGAGAGCCACATGCTGATGTCCCATGACCTCTGATCCTGACACCTGCTCAGACCCAGAGTCATCTTCCACCACTGTTGGAGTATACATTAACCCAGGGTCATCAATGGCCTCTGAAAAAGTAAAATTTTTAGTTAATCAATATAAGATGGTCATCGTTTGTGGCCAGACAACCTCAAAGTAAACAGACCTGCTGGGGGCTCAAAATAAGCTTCTTGTTCCTCTTCTATGGGCTCGGTGTCATTGTGCGCTGTCCGTTTATGCATGGCTAAGGTTGAAATCTGCTTATACGTCTTCCCGCAGTGGTTACAGTTGTAGGGTTTGCAGGGTGTATGAACTACATGGTGCTTGTACAAGCTGGAGTATTCAGTGAAACGCTTGTCACAGCCAGGAACAGTGCAAACATAAGGCTTCTCACCTGAATAAGATAAGACAAACATACTTTTGAGCTTATGGTGTGAAATTATAACTTATTTTTGAGGGGGAAAAATGCTTGCAACTTGAAGCTTCTGATTTCTTTCAAATGTATGCTTTATTAGATTTTGGAAGCCGTTAGAGCAGATAGGACAGGTACCTGTGTGAATCCTCATGTGGTTTTTGTAATTGGTGGCACTTGCAAAGGCCCTTCCACAGTTGGGTTCAGAGCAGTAGTACGGCCTCTCGCCTGTGTGAGTACGGATGTGAACTTTACGAATGTTGGATGTGGTGAAAGATCTCCCACAGCCTTCAAATGGACATTTAAATGGTTTTTCGCCTACAAAATGAACAGTCATGCAACATAAATCACACATTTAAAAACAGAGCAAAATTGTACAAATAATTTTAAGACAACTTAATATTATAAACTAGATGAAACCATTATTACAGGCCAGTTAAATATGACAAACACCTGTATGTGTTCTTGTGTGTTTTTGTAAGTCTCCAGAGGTTTTGAAAGACTTGAGGCAGTTGAGCTCCTGACAGCGATACGGTTTCTCTCCAGTGTGTGTTCGGACATGACTCTTGAGACCATACCCTTGAAGACAGCAGGAATAAAAATAAAAATGCATGTGCAAAAAAGTTGGAAGAGAGAAAAAAATTATTTTTGGAAAAATCTTTACCTGTTGCAAACTTTTTGCCACAACCCATATGTTCACAAATGTATGGCTTATCCCCAGTATGCGATCTTTCATGTACCTAAAAATATTTAGAAAGCCACAAAGTCCAGAAGTGGATAAATTAATACAGAGACAAAGCACACATCCAAACACAAAGCCTTTGTGAAATATGTGTATTGTATCTCTTCTCTCTTGCATGATTTCACCTTCAGATGGTGAGCAGTAGTGTAGAGTTTGCCACA